GTGTGTGTGTGTGTGTGTGTGTGTGTGTGTGTGTGTGTGTTAAAGGAAAAAAATCTCCTTTACTTTTATTTTTAATACTTTCGCAACCGATAATTTTTTCTAAAATTGGAAGCCGAATGTATAGGTATGTGTTTTCAAAAAAATTAATCGAACACTTTTAGCATTTAATATTTTTAATTAAATGTTTAGATAACACAGAAGAATAAAATTAAGAATTAACTAAACATTTTTTGACATAAAATATAATTTAATTTTTTGTATGATATTTTAAAAATTACCTTTTCATTTAATTTTAAGATTAAAATTAACTACGTTTAAGTTCATTAAAAAAAAAGTATACATTTAAAGTTAAAATACAAAAAAACATATTACTATGTTAACGCTAACTAGTTATAAATTTTGAAAAGTCGTAGTAAGTCAGCGGTTGCAAATGTATCAATATGACATGATTAATACATTCATTATATCACGTTGGATTTTGAAAATTTACAAAATATACTATATCTGCGTCGCCTACTTAAATTGCTTCAAAATAATAAATGCTCCATTATATAATTTCAGATCACGCATGTTACTTAAGTGATATAACTTTTTATTCAATAATAATGAGGTAATTTGTTCCAGTAAAATAAAATTTATGGTTTATCACGTAAATTATTGTTTGCCACATATAACGCTGATAGTAAATGTATTAAACAGTTGTCTGAATACAATATTTTTCTGTGTAATTTATCGATGTGTTCAATTCCACTATAAATTCCAAATGAATGACTTGATGTTAATATGAATCTAGCAGTTTCTCACGATTTATATTATAAAATGGCTGACGCAAGTACGAGAAGCTTATAAATGCTTCTAGTCTATTCATAATTAGAAATTCATCTTCTTTCGTACTTATGACACAGGGCTAGCTTTAAAAGCACGATAAAGTCAGTTTTAAACAGAGCGTTATTTTTATGTACATTGTTCGTATATGCAAATGGTATTCTAACATTACATTTGTATACATATGTAAATTTATACGCTTCCCCAGTCCCTTTCAATTTAGAAATATTAATGTATAACAATTCTTTTCTACTGTCATATATCTCGTGTTAAGGTACCTAGTTCGGATGTTTCTATTACACAAACATCGTTATATTTTATAAAAGGCTTGCCAGCCAGGATCGATCGAACGGGGGCATGGCAAAAATTTATTTAAGGAAAGACAGACTTTTACAAAGTCAGCGCATAAATCTAATTAGCTGCCTCTTTTTATTTAACACATTCGTTCTCGATGTAGCAGACTATAATACGAGTAGTCTATGCGAATTAAAAACGAATATGTGTTGCGTAAATGCACATGTATATATGTGCACATATATGTATATGCATACATGATATTAAAAAATTAGACCGACAAACTTTAGCAAAGTATGAATGATTTTAAGTGAAATATTTTTTTGTCAATATTTTTTGTCGAAAAAACATATTATTAATAATGTTTATTCCTTAATGTCTCTTATGTTTCCTCAAAAAATTTACCGGTTTAAAATTTTAACATCTTATATACATGTATGTACACATATATATATATGTACGTACGTACGTATGTACGTATGTATGTATATGTATATGTGCAGCAATGAAAATGCAATATGTATAATATCAATGTATCACTGCTGCCCGCGTGACGAGTAGCATAACGAATGAATCTTCTTGTTTAAAATGATCTCAACGATAAAAAACAGTTCTATATGTATTTACACGACTTCTCCTCTTGCTTACACAGCACGCAGTTACCATCATATATGCGGCTATCTACATCGAGCCCTATGGTCGAACGCGAAAGCACTTGAACAACGTTTCATTATACCCTGATCTTTTAACGTCCAACATTCAATGACAATCGATGAAAATCGGTAAGGTGTCTACTGTACTGTTCGCTCGAGGCGTGTTAGAATTTACGCGGCAGTGTTGGTTAACGAGCGATGAGAAAATAGCGCATGAAACGGCAGAAAGTACCTTTCGAACACGTACGAAATTGTATTTGCGTTGTTCTGATTATGGTATGTTAAACTTAACTTTAACGTTTGTTAAATAAGAGTTTTTCAAATTGATACATTCCTTGATACAGATATAAATTATTATAAAAAAAAATGAATTCATTAAAAATGAATTATTTATAAGCGTATAGATGGATCAAGACTGCGCTGATTGCGCGAACATGATTAAATCTCATCACAGAATAATTTCACACATGTTGAAAGTGCATTTTCTGCCGTTTTAATAATCTAAAAACTTCTCAAGACGCTCATCATTAGAGGCACTCTGTCCGCGATTGAGCTGTCAAGTAAATGCGCTCGTGTAATCGTATCGCAGTCGTTATTATAATGCTAGCAGAATCAGTTTACGCCATTATCTATAATTTTGCACACCGGTTCCTTTCGCCAGAGTTTCTTCGAGGATCGCGTCATCATGCTAATAGCAGAGGTATAAAACATTTAAATAACTACGAATTAAACATACAAATATAACACGTCTAAATTTAAATTAATTAAAATTAATTATATATACGACAAGATCAGTACTATGACTTTTCTCAAACAATACTTGGACAATTCATAATCGTCTTCTTCTTCTTCTTCTTTTTCTTACATTAGGCCTTTGGCCTGTTGTAATATCTCTCTCATATGTTTGTGATGCGCACGTTGATTATTTAAATTGCCATAAACATATGGGACCTACAGTTTTAATGCCGGTTCCGAACGGAATTTTTACGAGCGGAAAACCGGTATTTTTCGAGAAGTGTTTTTCTAGGCAAGGACACTCTCGGGAGGTTGCCGGCTTTTTCTGAGAGCAGACACGTAAATATTTTCTACCGGGTTTCTACCGGGATTGAATCCGGGATTTCTGGCATAAATCAGTACGTTGTCATGCCATGCTCACGCTCTACTTATACACATCGTATGCAATTAATATTACATTAACAAAAATATAAAATTTAAATTAATTTTTTAAATGGATTAAAAAATAGAATAAAAATAATAAATTTAAAATTTATAGATACTTAATATGACATTTCGTTAAGTTTTCAAATAGCGAAAATAGCTGAGAAAAACTTTGCAAGTCTCTTGCTTGAATTTACTATAGATATATCACCTAGCAAATTACTGATACAATCGTAAATATATATATATATGTACCTATATAATTATGTATGTTTCATTCTTTTACCAATTTTCTTTTTGCCGCAACTTTATGTAACTTTATGTAAATTTTTGCACTATCATAGGATTTTTAACTAATGTATATTCCTCGAAGAAACTATATACTGTTGCCGTTATATATGCCCGTGAGAGCTAAGTTATTGATAAACATACTCTCGTTCGTATTCCCCGCCATTACCAGTACTCACAGCACGGCAATAAGTGCACAACGATATTCAAATTAGTCTTACTTAGATCTCTCTCTTTCTCTTTCTTTTTCTCGTCCCTTCTATACTTCGTTCCGTTCTATTGAATATCTTAAACAAAACGCATAAATGAGGCACTTGCCCGAATCTATACCGGCCATATTAACACTCCGTTCCTGTTATAGATCAAGATCTGCCAACAATTAATACACGGAAGGCACGCCTCGTCTTTCGCGCGAATGCTTAAATGTCTCTACAGAGTGTTTTTCGTTTTATCTTGCATCAGTCTAAGCACCTAACAGGCCACTGCTACGAACACAGTCCTCATATGGTATCACATTACATTACTACAATTCAATCTTCGTCGTCGTTGTTGTCGGCATATGCTTTCCCTTACATTTGACTTTTTCTATTATTATCGAGACAAAAAAAAAAAGAAAAAGACTTCAAATTGAATCCTATACAGAATGATTCCACGGTAATTGCGAGCGTGGAATCGCGCGACGGACGATACTTGGCAAAGCTTGAAAATACTATAAAAAAGTAGATCCTGGGCTTATCACGAGACTATTCGCCGTCGACACTTACGTGTCGCTACGTGATCACGATAGTATTTTCCGACGTAACTTTCAGCCACGTGTTCATTATGAAGCTACGGGAAAAGGGGAAGAGGGGTTTCGCTGCACGTAGTACCATATCCATAATAATTCCCGGCTCTTCTTCGTAATGTTGCAGAAGATACATACAGTTTCTCACTTTCAGCACTGCTAAATCTCAAGTGCACAAATCTCACGTTGCTAGATGTTATACTCATAATTAAATCATAAACAGAGTCGCTTCGTCCGCTGATACGAAAGTACTGTCACTCTCGCGGCGCTTCGTGAGTAAGTCCTCGTCGAAAACACACCGAGTTCGTATCGTCGCGTTTACGATAGTTCCTGTCCCTAAGCAGGAAATTGTCGTCCTCCCTGCTGTATTGGGCCATGGATTGAGATCGTGGTGGCGGACTATGCGCGGCCATGTACGTGACCATGTTGTTGAAGTTTGGCAGGAATTGCGGATTAAAGAGCGATAGGATTTTCTCGTTAAGTTCACGGGGACTTCGGGTGGGCACCATATAATGATCCCTCGCGTTGCTCGTCACACCGTGCCGATCAAATAGATCATTTTCGATGGTAGGATGTCGCCCACAGAGATCGTCAAAACTATTTGCACTGTCGCTGCCGCCGGATTCTTCGCACGTCGGCGCGTTCATCAATGTCGTCTCAACGCACTCAGACTCGGACTGATGGTACTGACTACATCTCTGGGTCGCTGCTGATCGTTGCTGCGTATCGTAACCATCGAAGTATTCGAGTGTGCAGACTTCATCATTCCCGATACTCTCGTAATGATCCTCATAGCGATCCTCGTCCGGCTTATGGGTGTTGTTAGTATGATCCGTGGCGATACCGGTGGTGAGGCTTGTGGGCGTCGTTCCGTCGTCGTCCTCGTCGTCGTCGCCGTCCTCGTCGTTGCGCTCATCCGATTCCGCGAGGTCGGAGGAAGAGGAGGTGGAAGATGCGCCAGAACCCGTGGGGTCCTGTGGCAAGCCTCAAACGGCTCTGTGTCGCCTTCTGTATCATATATACGTTTTCTTCACCTTTTGTACTGGCTTGTTTTCCGCGGACGAATTCGCGTTCTTGCCATTTGGATTCTTGGGCGGCACATTCAGCACGAGATTGATGGACTTGTTGTTGAATCCAGGCGACTCCGAGCTCTCTGTTAGTCGATTGAGTTGTTGTCGTTGCTCGGAGGGTTCTGGGTATGAAGACCCGCGTAATCTCTGAGAGAACCAGAAACCAAAGGCGAAACCAGCCACCAGAGAACAGAAACAGGTCCCTATTAGTGCACCCGTTAATGTTTGGGCCGAATATACTACCGGTGTTACGGTCACGCCTGTAATCAGAATGCAGCAAATTGAAGAACACTAAATATTAGGATTGTCTTTTGCGAAAACTGCTCGCGCGTTTTGTCTCTAGTGTTCGGAATGGAAGGGAAAAATTAAAACGAATAAAAAAAATGAACAATAGTACAAACAATAAAAACATAATTGATCTTTGTTCACCCATAAAACATCACCCATATAATGTGACAGAATGTTTCGTTAGAAGCATTTTTGATAATATAATCAAGAAAGATGTTTTATATCAAAAAGATCATGATTCTACATATTTAAATGCTGAATAAAATTTCTTTATACAATTGCTTCGTTTTCAAGAAAATCGATATGAAAAATCGGAAAATATACCTATATAATAGTTAATATAAGTAAGTGGTGTTATTAAAAAATTTCAATTAAACAGTTTTTAACTACATTGCAACATAAATGGTTCAACGTGTTTTTTATAGTTGCTATATAAAATTAATTGCATTTAAAACAATAAAACAATCAAATAGAAAATAATTACGACTGTCGAATAACGCTTTTGTAAAACCATATTTTTATATTAAAACCATATTTTTATTTTAGTAAATAGAGAAAAAGAGAGAAGAACAGAGAATCATAATTAAAACAAATTAATCGATAACGTAAAAATTATGTAATCTTAAAATAGAAAAGGTAATGTTTTATTTTTTCAAACCTTGTTTTTTTTCTTTAAAAAAAAAACAAAGCTACACATAAAGGAAAAGAAAAATGATTGATATTTCTTTCCTCAGTTATACTATCAATAACGGATCATTCTGTTAGCATACCGATAAGACATTAGTTAAAAATACAAACATAAAAATAAACAAAGTACCATGAGAGGAGAATCAGTTAAAGCGGGATCGTATATTATGAGAGGGATTTTCGAACACTGTAGATAACTGAACTATATTAGTGTGATGTGATGATGTTGGTTACCTTGAGGCTCATTAGCCCTTGGCTGTGTACGACCATACTGATTTTCTCGATCCAATTCGATGATGATTTCATTCTCCCCATCGGGTTCTTCGCGTCCAATTTCGCGCGCCACCGCTGGTTGGACGGACTTCGTTACCTCTGGAGTAACATTTACCAATATGATGATAGACGACAGATGATTACGTATAAAATGATTTCACATAGTTATTACAGCGTACATTAGATACCATGTATACCTTTATACATTTATAGATTTAGATTTGGAGATTACATTTATGATAAAGAAACTTTATAGATGGTTACGCAAACAGCGATTATTAATTTCTATTCTACCCGTTCATTTTGCTACTATTACTACTAGGGTGCAGTCCACTTGACATTATAAATGTTTTGAAACTTTTGATTGATCAATTGGAAGAAAGAATTTTACTAACTGACCAAAAAATGTTTCGAAGCATTTGTAGCATCAAGTGGACCGTAGCCCTAGACATGACATTTATACATTCGTACACCATGACTGTGAAGTGAAATATTTAAAATTTATTTTTTTCTGGATTAATTTAATTGTTGCTTTTTAACTTTTCATGTGAAATATTTGCAATTTCTAAACTTCAATTTCAAATACAATTTCAAACAGTTCGAAGTCATGATGTACATTAACCATCATTAATATCTGATGCGCCCGACCTGGAAACGCTGCGAAAATATACATAACACCTAGCGTACGCATGAATAGATATGTATACCATGAAATAGCTGACCATGAGCTGTGTAGCCGTGCGAGCAGTATTCTTAGCATAGTTGAACATGCGAAAAATATTACTTAATTGTTTCAGATCTGACACATGTATAGCGTCCATATACTTTTGAAATTTTTTTTCAAATTTTATATAGGTATTTTGGATATTATTATAAACATTTATACTTTCTTTATTCCTTTATGATAAACATTATCTTCCAATAAAATTCTTTTTCAATCCTTTTTTTCGATTTTTTAAATAAAATTACATCAATTAAGTAAAATCAAAACAAGAAAAAGTCAGATTTGAAGCAGTTTGATGTTTGCTAAGACAGTTAGATAGTTATAAAAAGTTGCCCCAAAACATTTATTGTCCATGTATTCTTTAGCAGTGTATTAGACGAAAAAGCGTGCCCACAAAAAAATAATCACATATCTTGATTGTTATTAGGTTACACATATTAGGTTTTAGATGAGTTGTCTCTTTTCTATTTTTTATGTTTTAAAATAGCTATACGTATATTCAAGCTTAAAGAAAGAGGAAGTGTGAACAAAGTGGAGGAAGCGTAATTAAAATAAATACACTTAGTAGAAGAGTTTTTAAGAAAGTTTTGTTTCAAAAAGATTGCCTATTTTTTTCAATTTTCTATTTAAGTTTTTAATTTCCTATTTTATAATTTTCCGATCTTCCTTTCGCAGAATGAGTATTGCATGCTGAGGGACAAAATTAATTGTTCGCGTTGAAAGTACAAGATTAAATAGACTACGATATATCAAAAGTTGCATAAAAAACCTTTCGAAAAAAATCTCGAAACTTTGTAAAATTCGTACGTTAAATTCGTACATAACGTATAAAAAGCACAATCTTATTACTTGTTCGATACCAATTATCAAAAATAAATTCGAGTAAATTGCGTGCTCTCGAAATATTCAAACAAAAGTAGATACATCTGAATTTCAAGTTCGAAAAATTTATATTATTCGAACCAATTTGTATAACTTTGCATTCGTCATAGCAAAAGAAAGTTAAAATAAAAAATAAAATGGAAAAGAGAATCAAGTCATAAAATTATTAAACAAGCGATCAGAGATAGCGGTGTACCACAATATATCATACATATATTCACACATTTCCGGGAATAATCCCGATTACAATTACAACATAGTCTACATATCAAAGACAGTACCTGGCTCGTGCCCGCAGCTTCTGTGTCTACCGGTCGGGATATCTTGAAACAGTGTCTTGTCGGCGTCGTTGTCGTGGAGTTTCGTTAGTACCGCCACGCAGAGATTCGCAGTCGCATCCCAGGCGCAATGAGGATCTTGTAAGGCGACACAAGATCTGCAAGTAGCCGCAGCAGGTGAGTCACAATGATGTAAGGGAACTGCGCGGATCTCAGAGTCCGCAAACACCACTAGTTTACTTGCTTCGCCAGCTAAATGAACTACCAAAAGATCTTTGACCGCTTGACCTGCAATAAAGAATTACATATCACGATATAAAATAATGTGAAACATGTTATGTGTTTCAAAATCGCACAAAATATGTTTTAATTTTAGTTTTTTTTTGTTTGTTTAAAAAATAAATAAATAAATAAAGTGTTAATAAATAAAAGTATATGAAAATAAATTTTTAAAAAGTTATAGATACCTTCGATTATTATTTATTTTCTAAAAAATTTCAATCTATTTATTAACGCCAAATATCCAATCAATAAAGAGATAATAGATTCGATCACACAAATAAGAAAGTTATTTAAAGAATATGAAAAAGCGTGACATTTCCAAATATCACTTCATTAAAATGTTATTATTAAATACTTCGCGTACTATATATATATATATATATATATATCATGAAAACGGATACTGTGTTATTTACCGTGATGATATGATTTATCTCTTTAAATTTTTACTGGAAATAACGCAACATATACACGTAAGAAATATGGTATGCGCAAAGCTTCTTAGAAACTTTTTAAAGAAGCATCGAATTTCTTATTCAATCTCAAGTCGTCCTTTCGTTTGACTATGTTCTACATTCTCATCATATGAAAAGATTGTACCGAAACCGAACGCGCTGGAAATTCAAACAAATTTAGATAGTTTGCGTTGCAATTGATCTATTCAAATTGGCAACGTCAAAATTTTTCTCTCCGTTTGCATTTTTCATCCTAAGGATTTAAATACTAAATATCTTGAAAAGCTCGTAAAATTATGCAGTAACGCACTTTGCATTAATGCGAATTCGATCGCATTGTATGATTAATTCCTGTTTACTTTTCACAATATTGTATACTTACTTACTCAATCGTGTACAATATTTTATGTAACTTCAGTATAAATATAATTATGCAACATAAAAATATGATATTCATAGATAAATATATATAATAGATTAACCAAAAGTAAAAAAAATTGTTTTAACTTGCAAAATAATACAATTACAAAATTTACACAGTAAATTTACTTACCAAATTTTAACACTTGGACGTCACTGACAATAACTTGACCAACATTGTCGTATGATTCTGGTGCACGTGTGTTAAGTGCTTTCAAAACGCGGCCATCATCTGTATGCAACAAATAAATCTCGTTAATCTCCCAGAAATATAAATTATCATTATTACAAATATTACATATATATATATATATCATTTATAATAATTATATTATTATTATTAATAATAATATAATAGATTGACCATTATTATAAATATAATAATGATATACAATTGCGAATTAATATAATAATTAATATATTACAATATTTATATTATTATAAATAATTAAATAATTATACCTGTTCCAATATAGAGTATATCGTAAGCTTTACCATCCAAAGCCTTTACTTGAGGATCTACCGCAACTTTGGTAAATCTATAACTATAAATGTTAAAATTCCATGTGTTAATGTTTTTTTATACAAAGCTATTAATACTATTAAAAATATGTAATTGCAACAACAGCTTTAAAAATAACTTTCGATTGAAAATTTAATAAAGTTCAAAGTAAAATTTATGTTAAAAGAATTCTCTCTATTTTTTTGCACATGTGTAATATGTATAACAATGCATGTATATCTTTGTATACATTTGATATTAAAAAATATACGTTAAAAATTGAGAAGCTATAATAAATGATTAATTTAATATTTTTAAGAAATATCTATTTAAAATTGACAAAAAGATTCGTAGTTTAAATATGTTGCACCAAAACGTGTTTAGGTATAAAGATATTATATACATAAGACAATGAGAATATATTACAATATATTAAAACTATATTAATAAAAATATGTCAAAAATATTAATCAATCAAGTTACTTACTTAAAACTGGTTTTAGTTATCACAGGTAATGAAAAGTAAGATTGCACAGCGTCATCCATGAGGGGGTGTGCCTTGACGAAATTAACAGTAATGTCCGGAAGTGTTCTGGAATCGTTAACGCAGGCACCGGGTCTGGGTTCAGGTACCTTTTCCTGAAGTACTCGCAGCCAGTTGCTGTTTATAGTCTCTTGCTCTTTGAAAGCACCCTGGAAGACCTCGAGAATGTTGTCCATAGAGAATGCACAAATAGCTGAGCCGCCAATGGAGTTCACTGGGGTCGTGAAAACTCCATACACCAAACGCGCAGACTTCCCCGCGTATCGACCATCCGTAACATCGCTCGTTGACTCTAAATATGACAAATTATTCGAAATTATTTCGAAATCATTTTCGTCTTATAGATGGTAAGTGCAGACGCCGTTCTGAACATTTTTCTATGGAAATATTTCATTACTTGCATAGAATGATAAGAAAAAAAATGGATCGTATAAAAAATATATAAAATATGCATTATAACAAAATAATTCACAAAATTTAGTCAAAAAGTAAGAATTATTTTTTTAGACAAACCATTTTTTAATCATCTAATTAAAATTAACGATATTATCTGCAATTTACTGGATTTAAATTCACGATTCAAAAAATTGTTCAAGTATGTATTTAACATCGACGATTTTACATCGATATTTAATTTCGTGTTACTCAGTTTAATTTTTGCGTTCTACGTCGTACTTAAATCAAATATCTCCTTTTGAAAATTACCGAATTAATTAAATAATTAAAAGATTTAAATTTTAATGTTTTCAATTTCAATAACAATTTTGTCTGTTATCAATTTCTTTCACATTTTTGACACTTCATGCTTTGATATTAATAAACATGTCTCATCATTAGTCTTAGTTCCGCGATTATTATACAAAGTTCGAACAATCAGAGAAGCAGCCAGTGATTTCGCGGCACCTCTCAGACATCTGGAGACGCGCCAACTTCGCGAATCCAACATAGGGATTTCAATTCGATATGCGGCGACAATATTCTACGAGAATAGAGTGCTTCTCTCGTTCGTTCTCCATTCCTACTGGTTTCTAAACGCGATAGTGCACCGCTATTGTACTTCACACTCGAGATTAGTCCATTTCGCTGTACGATAGATAGCTAGAGTGACTTATCCGATTTCATTGTACGTGTAGGAATGGACGAGAAATAAAGAAATCGATAAATGTGACAAAAAATATCATATAAATATAAAAAAACATTTAAAAATATTAAATATACGAATGTTCTTATTATAATGCTGTTAAAAACAAATATTTATATTTTTATTATTGTAAAAGAATATGATTCCCTGTGCTTTAATAATAATAATGAATCTCTCTAATATTTACATTTGCAAAGAATGTTATAATTTCTTTTCTTATATAAAAATTTTGCGTAATTAAATGTTAGAATGCAACTATTACTTTAACACAATATTATTCTTATTACATTAATAGGATATGTGTATAATGTGTAATATTTGTAGAAATGTGTAATATTTGTATTTGTAAGCAACATTCTTTGCTTTTTCCCATTCACGCAAATACAAATATTAGAAATATTATAATATGTATGTCAACTATAAGCAAGAAAGCATATAATTGTATTGCATCTTTAAGTTTGGATAAGCTTACAAATACCTGAAATACATAGTGGTTTCGTATTTGACAAAATTAAAAAAAAGTGGAATTTCGAGATACATCGAGATAATAAAATATATTTTAAAAAAATATAAATATTTTAAATAAAAGTTTTTCAGAAAAGAAATGTGATAAATTTTTATATAACATGTTTTTATAAGATAAGTCATCAATATTTTTATAAATAGGGAAAATGATAATATTTTTTAATGTAATTTTATTCTCTCTCTCCCAGCCATTTTGCATGTAAAAGCAACATTATTTTGCATATTAAGGGATAAAGTCATAAAAAAAAATCAATAGTTTGTGAGATATTTCATATTTTATTCTGAGATATTTCGATATAAAAATATGAAATATTTTTTAAAATATTCATTTTTTTATGACTATTTTAATATTACTATGCGCAAGATAATAACAAATATATATATCAATTTATCTAAAAAGTATATATAATTACATTTTAAAAAGTATACAATTTGCAACATGTGATATAGTATATTGTAAATTAGACTACGTATTAAATAAATTGCATAAAATATTAACTTTTATAGAATGGAAAGCCATTAATAGTGGCGCTAAAACAGTATT